CCACATTTCAAACCCACCAGATGCCCTGTGGGAGAAGGACATGTTAGTGTGCTTCCATAAAGATTTACAGCCTTAGAAATCCTATGGGGCAGTTCTACATGTCCTATAGGGTCATTATGAGTTGGAATCAACTCGACAAAAATGGTTTTGGGGTTACGATCATGTTTATACCTTTAGTATTATCTTCTATTCAGGAGTGGACCTACATACAGCCTAAGGGTATAGACAAAGTTCTACTGGATTACATCCATGGCCATTTGTTCACCTATTATCTACAGCTACGATGGCAGTAGTTGTAACAGAAACTATGTGGCTCACAAAACCTGAAATACTACCTGGCCCTTTAAAGAAAAACTCTGTGAACCCCTGTTCCATACAAAAGCAACCCCAGGTGAAAAGTAGTCCTTAACTAATTCCTTATACTTACTATCGACAAAAGACCAGTGGCAAGATGAACATAAAGGACTATTTCCATTAAGTAAAAGGAAACATTTATTTCTAAATTTTTATAAACCACTTAAATTTTATTCAATTGTATACTCTTCTGATCAACAATCTAGCTAGCTATTACTACAAGCCAGCTTCTTACATAAGCTCACTACATAAATATTATGGTAGAGCTTTTATTTTTTTTACAAAGGTTAAGTAACAAAAAACGTTATTCTGCTCAGAAAAATTAAGTAATAGTTCATAAACATCTGTCCTCATTCCCAAGGTCCTCAAACACCATTAAATGCATCCTCTGCTTTGTTTTCTTACGAACAAAAAGTATTTTGTGAAGGTATGTAATACAAAGAGATAATCAAACTATTAATTATCAAAAAAATAATAATAATCAAAAGTTTAGAATTTTTATAACTCTAAGACGGAATGGTTTTTTGTTGTCAACTGCCATCAAGTCACCTCCGATTCATGGCAACCCCATTATGTGCAGAGTAGAAAAGCTTCACAGGATTTGCAAAGCTGGAACCTTGAAGTTCCACATTAGTTTTGTTCTAAGTTAAAAAAAATTCTGAACCATCACTATAATCTGCAAAGTAATATATTTGATGACATTCATACAACCACATAAAAATGAGGAGAAATTATTAAATTGAAACATTCTCAAAAGTATTTTAAAATATGCTTTTTAAAACATCTTGCTATAGATTTATAGACATGCTGATAAAATAATTGCTAATAAAGCAACTCAGAGCAATCAATAATGCCATTTATAAGACAACCTCAAGTACTATACCAGGTTTGCTACTGGGTTTTAAATATGGTATGCTGAAATAGGGGGAGCCCCAGAGGCTCAGTGGTTAAGCACTTGGCAGCTAACAAAAAGATCCAGTTGGAAGCCAGGAGTCTCTCCACTGGAGAAAGATACAGGCTGTCAGCTTTGTAAAGACTTCAGCTTTGGAAACTCTACCAGGCAGTTCTACTCTGTCCTATAGGGTAGCTATGAGTCGGAATCGACTCAAGGGCAATAAGAAAGCTAAAGCACCTCTAATATATCAAATTTAAACCAACCCACATAACTCTCAAGCAGATATTTGAAGAAACAGGTACTTTCATTTGGATGAAACTAGTAATGTGTATGCAGTGCTGCTTTGTGAAGCTGCAACTGCAATATACATTTTTCAAATACCAAAGCCTATGTTACAAAAGAAAAAAATCAAAACAAACAAAATCTGAAATGAATTTTGCAACTATTTATTTGAATAAGCAATTTCTTTTTCACAAATGCATTAAAGAATCATTATTCTCTCTCTTCAGATGTACCGAATTGGTCCATTTATTATACTTCTAAATAGTAGTACTGCTATAGAAATACATTTAAAAACATTAGACAGTTCCTACAAGAACAGTGCCTGGTTCTAGAAATTCTGTAAAAGCTTCGAATGATATCTCTGACCACATATTTAAATTAAGAAATTTATATTTCAGCATATGCACAATATTTAAGAAGAGTACTTAAAATATTTGCAATAAATCAGAGCCCAAAATTGTCAACTGCAACCATCAGAAAGATGAGGTCTGAAGAAAAAGGTGTAAGGTTAAATATTTCTCACACAAACTGTAACTGCACACATGGTCATTTAAAAGGACATAGTGATTTTTAATTTATTAATCAAGGTTTGTTAATTTTACTGGCCTCAAATCTCCCCTCCTCCACTAGTACGCTACAATCATACCAGACGTGCTTTCCTCATTCTTGGAGTTAAGTGCTGTTTTGCTGGGCTGGAAAAGAGGTCTTGAAATTGTCCAGCCAGGAAAATGTGTAAGAGGGAAAAGGAATGGAGAGTGCTGCAAGTATTATCTAAATAAATAAGCCTGAATAGTAGTGCGAGTTGTAAAAGGAGACTGTTCGCACTCCTGGAAACAGTTACAGTCTTTACTTTCAAAAATGATAGGATTTTTAACATAAAAAGATTCCCATGTAACTGTGATGCGCTTAGCAATTTAGATCCTAGCATTTCTTGGTTTTCATTTTCAAATAATTTCTGAGTAAACTCCCGAATAACCATATTGTTGTTATGTGCCGTGGAGTCGGACCGACTCATAGTGATCCTTCCTCGGGTTTCCGAGGCAAACGTATCACTACGGAAGTAGATTGCTCCATCTTCATTCTGAAGAGTGGCTGGTGGGTTTGAACCGCCAGCCTCCTGGTTAGCAGACAAGTGCCTTAGGCATTATGCTACCAGAACTCCTCCGAATAACCATACGGAATCTATAATCAGCGCTTCATGGACTACCTTCGTTTCTTTATCAGCTATAAAGGTGCAGTTCAAGATACAGATGAATCAAGATACACGACTTACACGAGGGATCAAAGGAACCTGGAGCTCGACCCCCACTTCTTTTATTTCACAAGCCTACAGCTAACCCGGGCGCCCGCCCCCTCCACCTACAGACAGCCTAAGAGGAGGAACTTTCTTTCCCTCTCGCTGTCTAAGGCTGGGGTAGGAAGTACCCTCCCTCCGGGGCCGGGAACCACGGTGTCCTCGCGGCACATTGGCTGAGGAAGCCGTCATTGCGACAGCGGGCGGGGCATTTCCATAAAGAACCGAATCTCAGTGCGGCAACCTCCGGAAGGGTCCCTGGGTTTCCCCACCGCGAGAAACCAATCGGTCTCCCCAAGACCTTCCTTGGTCTTTTTACAAGTTATCCTCTCAACGCCCCATACAGTTTTTACCGCTTTGACTCTCCCAAGAGGAAAAGCTTTTTCAAAGCTTCAATATCTCTCCCCTTCCCCAACAAGTTCCTAGTCCAGGGCCAAATTAAAGGATGCTGCAGTTTTAAGAGCGAAGCAAGCTGTGGACTGCATCTCCCCAAGGGTAGTGGCGGTTTCAGTCCTCTGGAAATGAAATAACTGCTGAAATTTTATGTTAACCGTTTCCAATGCATTGTCTTTCACCAAGTGTTACAGCCAAGAATACTAAACACCCAGTCAGCAAGAATTGTCACAAAGCATTACAGGGTTAATAGTATCTGTTTTACTATTCAACTTTTTCAGTGTGTATTCGGTTGTTCAAACATACCGTCACCTTTTTTGAGTGCAAGTACTTTTCCCATCACACCAAGAGCACACGGTCCTGAATAGAACAGATTTATAACACAGATTACATAATGTACTCCATAATGCAACCTGACAAGACACATTGCTGTCGTCTGCAGGGAATGTAAAAATGCTCCTTGAAACTGCAAATTCCTTGAATGAGGAATTAGAAACTGGTTCTAATTATGATAGGTCCAAAATGCTCTACAAACTATGGGCACTTGATGTTTTCAACTGGAACCTGGAACCTGGATGTTTTAAGATCAGTCGTCTCAAAGAAGGAAAATCATTTCATTTCTGTAGTACAATTCTGATTTTCAGTTCAATCACCAGATTACTCAAGGAAGGAAGCATATCTTAAGGTAAAGTAAGTATATTCTTAGTATTTATCCCTAAAAAGGGCTGCAGCGGTGCAAGAACATGATTCGTGCGTTTGCTAAATCTTCATGCAAGGCCTACAGTATAAAGGAAGGAGACCACAGCTCTTCCAACCACACCGCGACTACTTTAGGTTGTTTTCATTTCCTAACACTGTCCCAGGCAATGTGGTTCTCACTTTTCTCCTTTGGGCTCTCATTCATTCCTCTGGCTTTGGCCTCAATTCTATCTTTTCCATTGCCACCATCCCCACTTAGGTTCGCTACTGCCTCGCAATTCCTCTGACACTTCCTAATCCTGGTCGAGTCTCTGTAAAACTCATTCTCCCACCGATTTATCAACATACACACACACACACACACACACACACACACACACTTATTTCTCAAGCCACTTTAGATTCTTCCCTAACAGCACGGCTTCCACCATCCATACCCTCCCAACAGTGAACTTCAGTTTTCTGAGTAGGGCTGCTGCCGAATCCTGACAGCAGGACCTAACCAATCCGTGAGGGATAAATAACCTGAGTCGCCAATGAATACCCGCCCAGAGGCAGGAGGCGGGACTTCGCCTAAGTTCCTTGGGTCCTGAAACCAAAGACCTGTTGCCGCCGTCGCGTTAGCCGCAGAGTTTCTTAGTTACCGCGGCGCCTAAGGTGGCCTCGAGGAGTCAGAGCCTGTGGCACGCAAGACGTTCCTGCCGCTCGTTCCCATCACTGCCAACCAGCAAGACTGAAACCCTCACCCGGCTCGAGCGCAGCGCGCCCCACCCCACCTCCCCCAGGGCGGGGGTATGCTGGAGGCCGCCCCGCGCAGTACTGACCGCTTTCTCCCCGCCCGGCTCTCACAGGCAGCCCTACACGGCCAGGATCGCCAGACCGGAACGCCAGGGCAGCAACTCACCAGGAAGTTAGGAGTTTTCCGTTCTCCCTCCCGCGAGGAACCCGGGGCAGGCGGGCGGCTCGGCCAGGCACCGCCGCGGAGAGGCACGCTGGGCCGGGGGCTGTGACTGCAAAGCCCGGAGCCGATCGGCCACCTCCCGCCGCGCCGCCCCCGCGGACGCTGCAGGCGCGGGCACCCACCCTGCGCTCGCCGAGGCGCGTCCAGAGTGCGAACCTAGCGGCGGCCCATCCTCCCTCGACTCCCGCTCCTCCTCCAGCGGCCGCCGCTGTCAGGAGTGTAAACATCCCGGCATCCCCGAGGAGGGGGCGGGGCGGGCGACGGCCCCTCCCCGCGCCGGGTTCTGCTGGGCCGGGCTGACCGCTGCGCCGCGGCCTCGGGCTAGCTCCGCAGGGAGGGTTTGAGGGCCAGAAAAGCCTCCGCAACTTTCCCGGCTTGGGCTGAGCACCTCTGGAGGACTCCCTTTTGGCATATCGTTTCCTGTTACCCGACTTAGTGTGGTGTGGGATAGTCGTTTTGGTACCTTAATCGTCTTCTGCTTCGGCCCAACTTCCCACCGATCCGTTTTAAGAACTTATTTTTCTTGCGTTTATATTTAAATGCCCCATTTGCAAGTAGTGAAACAAATCGGTGACTCCAGTTTCTTCTGGATCACAGCATTTTGATCCTATCCTCTTTGACCTGGTGATTTAAACCACTTCGGTGCTTAAAGTGTATGCAGGAATATGGAGGAATGAGGCGTTTTCCTAAATCTGGCTAAGCCAACAACCTTGTATTAACAGAAGAGTCTCAACCTAGAGCACAGTGGCTTTTAGGGCATATCCGAAAGGTGAACTGCCTCGTATAGTACCGGAAGTCTTTGATGTATGCCCCCCCCCCATCGTAGTACACAGCTGCAAAAAGATTACTTTGAATCCAATGACTTCAAGACTTCAATAATCCGACATATACTACAAGAGGAGACAACTAGGAGGCAGTATGGAGTCAGCCACACTTGGTTTGAAATCTCAGTTCAGTGATTTATTAACTGCGTGACCTGGCGGCAAGTAATTTAACCTCTCCAAGTCTCAGTACCTTTGTCTGTAAAAAGAGAACAGTAATAATACTTATCTCATAGGACTGTGGTTAGAATTAAATGAGGTAAAGCAAAGCGCTTAAGCACAGAGCCTGGCATATAAGAAGTACTCCTTATATCTAAGTCTTTCGCTAGTTTCACTGGTTTGGCTTCCCTATCAAGGAAACCCAAGGAGGGGTCGCTATGAGTCGGGGCCGACTCGATGGCAAACAACAACAACAATCAAGGGATTAGAGTCAGGAAGAGTAGGTGATAGCGCAAATATTTAAAAGGCTGACGCTATGAACTAAAGATTTGCAAAGTTCTTTTTCAGAAAGAATGATTCAAAGTTGCTCAACAAGTACTTGGTAAATATGTACTGTGTGCTAGGCACTGTTCTGAGGTGATAGAAATATTCAACAAGACACAAAATCCTTGCTCCCATGGAGCTTATACTTAACTGGGAAAGAGCTAATAAGTACATACTATTTAAGATGGTGATTCATAGAAAAATATAGCAGAGTAAGTAAATGGGGAGGGAGGTTGCTATTTTAAATATGTTTATCTGGGAAGGTCTCACTGACATTTGAGCAGGACCTGAAGGAAGTGAGAAAATGAGCCATGTATGCCGTCCAAGGGTATGGCATTTTACAAGGAAGAAATAGCAAGTGCTAAGATCCTGAGATAGAAGCTGGATGGCAGGTTTGAACAGTATAGATAGAACACAGTGAGCAAGAGGAGGGCAGTAGAATATGCGGTCAGAAGGGGAGTAGCAGATATAGAACTTTGTAATTTTTAGCATTTATTCTGATTGCAGTGGAGCACTATTGGAGGTTCTGACCAAATCTGACTTGGTTTTTTAAAGGAAAACTCAGACTGCTCTGTGGAAACTAGACCACAGGGTAGGAGCAGCTAGACCAGCTAAGAAACTATTACAGTGGTCCTGGATGGCACAAATGGTTAGCATTCTTGGCTGCTAACCAAAATGTTGGAGATCTGAATCCACCCAAAGGTTCTTCAGAAGAAAGGTCTGTGATCTACTTCCAAAAAACCAGCCATGGAACACCATTTGGAGCACAGTTCTGTTCTGACACACAGGGGGTAGAATTGACTGGACAGCAACTGGTAGCTTGTAATGGTTCAGGTAAAAGATGTTGATGACTTAGACCATAGTAGTAGCAGCAATAGGGGAGCTCTGGTAGAGTAGTGCCTAGGGCACTTGACTGCTAACCAGAAGGCTGGTGATTTAGACCTACCAGCCACTCCTTGGAAGGAGGTTGAGCAATCTACTTCCATAGTGATACTGCCTCGGAAACCCAAGGTGGGGTCACTATGAGTTGAGTCCAACTCGGCACATAACAACAACAGTAACAATGGAGGAATGGTCAGATTCCAAATATATTTCTAAGATAAAGCCAACAAGATTTGTATCTAGGTTAGATGTGAGGTAAGAAAGGAGGCAAGGATGACACCAATAAAATTGACATTAGAACCAGATTGTTCTATCAGGTTACACCAAATCAAATCAGTCAGATAGGTACAGTGTCAATTGAGTTATACACAAGCACTCTGTCTTAGTTCTCTAGTGCTACTATAACAGAAATACCACATGTGGATAGCTTTAACAAACAGAAATTTATTATTTCAGTTTAGGAGGCTAGAAGTCCAAGTTCAGAGTGCCAGCTCTAGGAAGACTTTCTCTGTGTCTTGTTTATAGGAGGATCCCAGTGCAAGGACTCTGGGTCCAAAGAATGCACTTAGCCCCTGGCTCTTCTTTCTTGGTGGTAGTAGATCCCCCTTCTCTGTTTCTTTTTCTCTCCTTTCATCTCTTGTAAAATAAACAGTCTTGCAGCCCATACCCCAAGGAAGCTCCCCTTACAATGGATTAGGGTTATGATGGGACTAAAGGTGTTGCAACATACTCTTTATCTTAATCCTTCCACACTTGATCAGCTTATTGCATCAAATCATATCATGGGGTATCATTACATATCTGCCAGATTACATAACTTCTAAACCACTGAGAATCATGGCCCAGCCAAGTTGACACAAATTTTAGGGGCACATAATTCAATCCATGACACACTGCAGGTAAAATAACCAGATATACCAAGGTGAAGATATTTCTATCTGAGACCAGAGGCATGGTTAAGGATTTTCCTTTTTTTCCTACTATCTTTTGTATTACCTTTTAGAAAAGATAGATACCAATAAGTCCAGTTTGAATAAACTACAGATTCACCTAGACCAAATATTTCACTGTTATAAGCAAAATTCACATAACTAATGAACACTGACGGACAGGCATATGGATCAAAATGAGCTCATGAACCACTAGTGGCCTCAAAGACTTTGTCTATGCATTATCCTGTCAGTAGCCAAATGATGCCCAAAGTGTTGAACTCATCTATTGTCCTGTCTTCATCTTAAAGGATTACAAAGCTACACCTATATAGTTGTTGTTGTTATGTGCCGTCGAGTCGGCCCCGACTCATAGCGACCCCTCCTTGGGTTTCTGAGGCAGTATCACTACGGAAGTAGGATTGCCCAACCTGTAGTACAGTGTTTCAAAGTTTGGGAAAACTGTTAGAACTGAAACCCTGTACTTTGTCTTTGTAACTTTTTATCACCTATGTGGTAGATCACAGAAGCTCATGAATAGCTGACCAGCATTGAGCCTGTCCTCCCCCACAGGTGAGGCTGATAAGATCCCTGAGCCCTAAGGCTCAGATGGGGCTTCCTGGTTGATGATCATGCAAGAGAGAAGGTAGCACATCCCTCCTTCAGACATGGAAGTTCTATGCTGTAACCTCTCCTATACTTCACCCTCTGTGTCTCTTCATCTGTATTCTTTCTGGTTGTAATAAAGTTGTACCTGAAGAGTACTCTCCATGAGATTCTGTGAGTTGTCCCCACCAATTAACAAACCCACAGGACAGTGAGAACCAGCAGAGGTTAGCATCTGCCTATTTAGCAGTCTGAAAGAAGATGTCCTTCTAATATGTGAGCTCTGATCCAGCTCTGGGTAGCTAGGGTTGGAGAAAAAATGTGCCTCGTGAGCAGCTAGCACCAAGGATGGAGAAGTGAGAAGGTGAGGACCAGATCTATTTCCAAACTGTGGGGATTGGATTCAAGCCAATCCTTAATGACCCAGCAGTGAAGGTGGGATTTGCCTACTGTGCCCTTTGGTTAGTGCGTCTACTCATCTCCCCATCAGGAACACTCAAAAATGCTTGTTTGGCTCTATGAAATGCATTAATTACTGTTCTTTATATGAACTACTTACTATTTACAGCTAATTACCATGTAGCACATACCATTAATTATCAGTTTAACTTTGTTGTAAATGTTATTTATTACATTTAAAACCTGTTTGTTTATACCAAGTCTTCATATTTTGTTATTCATATAGCTAGATTGTCCCCACACAATTGAAAATAAAAATTAGATTACCAAAACTATTTTTTCTGTGTAGGCTAACACAGACCAGATGTTACACACCAGGTTCATTATAAATGTAATTTCAGCACAGAGAGAAACTTCTTAGGAAAAAAAAAAAATGTTTTCCTCAAGAAGGGTGATGAAGTAAGTAATCTTAATTCCCCTTTGAAAGAGATCCTAGCCTCCTTGATTCAAACCAGAGCTTAGAACCAGTTCATTTCAGGTCAGCCCCCTGATGAAAATTGCATTTCCACCCCAGGTACACTGAATCAGATCTAAATTTTAGCAAGATTCCCAAGTATACATAAGAATCACCTGGGAATCTCGAAGAATTACCTGGAGATCTTGTTAAAATATAAATTCTGAGTCAGTGTATCTTGGGTAGAAATGCAAATTCTCAGCAGGAGGGCAAACCAGAATGAACCGGTTCACAGCTCTGATTCAAACATAGTGCTGGCAACAGGTGTATTTAAAAAGCTGCAAGTGATGTTGGCAGCCACTGAGCTTGGCAGCTAACTAGTGATGAGGCTTAGTCAAGCTGTTGAAATGTCTGGACTAAACTGGGCCAAGAGAAGGAAGTCAAAAGGCAGACTGCAGACAACCTCAGCGAGATCACTTTTCTCCAGTTCTGCCTGTGGTCACTGTGCACTGTTGGAAAATGAATCTTTATCTTGCTTTGAAAACACTTATGAAATATACTAAAAAGTTACTTCTTCCACTTTAATGGTCCCTTGCATTTAATTGTTAACAGATCGTGCAGATGAACTTCCCATTAAAACAGTATAA